AGAAGAAGAAGAAGAAGAAGAAGAAGAAGAAGAAGAAGAAGAAGAAGGTCAGTGCTACAGTCTTTCAATTTTGAGGCTGCATTGAGCTCAGGCTCTGTCAGGAAGTATCCAACATGAAACAGTTGAGAAATCTTTCATGAGAGTTCGCTCGCTGTGCAACCTCTACCAAGAGGAGCGGCCGAAACGAACAAGGACAACATCAGCGTGGGACGATACATTTGGGAATCATAACGCTCAGAGCTGAGCTGACGTGTGAAAATAAAAGAGTCTGCAAACTATTGCTGAACATTTGGAAAGTCCAATAATATTTTTTGCACAATTGTTGTCTCGTAGATCTAAGTGACCTCTGGCAACAGAAAGCACAAAAATAAAAGGCTTTAAGTTGGTGAATTTTTACAGGTACAAAGGCAATAAATAACTTGTTTCATATGCGTTTTATTTCTGTATAATTAGAGCATGCTGGATGCCTCGAACTTCCCCCTGGTATTAATAAAGTATCCATCCATCCATCTTGGTGTGATAACAGCACATTGTACATCTTTGCTTAACATTTAGACATTATGTATTAAAGTCAGCACTGCGTCTGTTAGCAAAATTGGACCACTAGATTTGAACAAAAATCACAAACAATCCTTGGATGCATATTTACAACTTTTAAACTTTTCAACTCAAGATGACCATTACGCCGAAAAACAAACTAACCAAAACAAATGAATAAAAAGGCGGCTATACCTTAGACAATTTGTCAGCTACTGAGAAACTCCGAGTGGTAGTAGCTGTGCATGGTCCCATCACATCCTTCTGACAGCCACACATTGTGAGATATTTTGCTTAAAACATTGGCAATAATCAACACGATTAGCAAAATATCTCACTAAGAAATGGATGGATTTCAATGAAACTTTTCACAAATGGGAATTTAAAATGCATAAACTAACAAGAAACGGAAGTTATAATTTCTTTAAATGTTCTGTGTTTAAATAAAAAAAACACTATTTAACCACTTTTAAAACCATAAAAATAAGAATAAAATAAACTATTTTACAGTGTCTGATGAAAACTCCACAGGAGCAAGTTTACTTGTAACTTGATGAATGAATCTGTCCTGCAGGGAAGCGAAAAGCAGGAACAGAAAAACTGATTAAAACATTTAAAGAACGTAAACTCACCATAATTTATGATGGAAGTTGTTTCTCAAAGTCTCTGTTTAGGTCTGAGTGTACACCTGAAACCCTCACACCGACACTCCCACACAACAGTTTATTGTTGCCACAGGCGTGCACGCGCGGACACAGAGGAATGTCACGGATCCTGCTCCACCTGTTCCACCAGGTGTGTGTGCGCGCGTGTGTGTGTGTTTCCTGCTACAGGTGCTTGGATCTGCTCCTGCTCGCGTGAAGAAATGGTGGAGGTGAGGAGCACGAACAGTTTGATAAAGTCGGGACTTACCTGTCGGCTTTCAGGGGAGTCCTGGTCCGAAGTGTGCCCGGAAACCGACCGGACTCATAATCCACGTTTCAGGTGTGGACGCGTTCACTGCGCGTCGGAAACTATTTGCTCCCACGCTCGCCTAGCTGCCATATGCAAATGAGCCGGGTCACGTGACTCCTCCGCTCCAATTAGAGATCACCTCTTCCTCTTGTTTCTTCTCGCATTGTTCCCGCCTTTTCAGCTGCCTGGTCATCAGTTAGTTCAAATGAAGATATTGTTTTAAGATAATATACAATTTGTGCATTTGAAATAATTTTGTTTATCAGGACGATGGCTCAGTTGGTATCACTGTTGCCTCTCGGTGAGAAGGTCGTCGGTTCAAATCCCGGCTCGAGGCCTTTCTGGGTGGAGTTTGCATGTTCTGTGCATGTGTGAGTTTTCTCCGGGTACTCCGGTTTCCTCCCACAGACCAAAAACATGCATGTTAGGCTGATTGGTAACTCTAAATTGTTCCTAGGTGTGAGTGAGAGACTGAATGGTTGTTTTGTTTGTCTCTATGTGTCCCTGTGATGGACTGGAGACCTGTCCAGGGTGTCCCCCGTCTCTCGCACAATGAAAAGTAGACATGGACACCAGTGACACCCACGTCCCGAAAAGGAAGAAGTGGGTAAAGATAATGGAAGGATGGATGCATGCATGGATAGACTGACAAACAATTCAACAATCCTGAGAGGGTTAGCTAAAGTTTAATAATTAAACAGCTGTTGTTTGTGTCCTGGCATACCTTCAACATTACTGTTCAAACAAAGCTGACCAGTTAGCTCATGTGCAGCACAAAGACATGGACAAACAGGACTATCTGAAGATATTCATTTGGACTAATTAAAAAAGATCCCAGCAAAATGTTCACAGCTTCCTGTCTGTTCAGACTTTAGTATTTAAAGCTCTTCTGGCTCCGTTTCGTCTCTAGGATCTTCTAAAACACCAGAACACACAATCAGATGTTCCAAGACCTAAAGTGAACTTTCGCTGTTGCTGCTCTCGTTTTATAAAATAATTCACCTTTCCGTAAAAAAAAATCATCTCGGACTTCAGAAAGCTTTAGGGTGCTGCTACCCACCTCTACTCACTGCCTCTGACTCAAGTAGGACTTGACAAATATACTTTTTATCATGTTATTTTCAAATGTTTTTACTGCTTTGTTTTTTATATTGTTTACTGTATTTTGAGTTTTTCAGTGTTTTTTTTTTTTATTGCTTTTTATTTTACAGGCCTCTTGTAAATGAGTCCTTGTGACTCAATGAGACTAACCTGTATAAATAAAAGGTGAATGAATTGCAATTTTTGCTGTTTTCTCATATAGAGAAAAACTGATATTAACATTAAATGAAACAATAGTTACATCATGTTTGTTTTGTGTGAAGACAGTGATGACATTCTCAAAAGATATATAAAATGGCAGCAGTAATGTTCTCATGCACACTTATAAAACAGATTTTTCTGTGACAATAAGTTTTTTAGGCAATAAGGTTTTTCACGTGTTGGCTGTTGATTTTAATCACGTAAACCTGAAAGGCACTCTGCTAAGATTTTATCAGCACGTGACCATTCCAACACAGGGAAATAACGCACTCTATCGTGTTTACACCAACATACGAGATGCATACAAAGCCGTATCCCGTCCCCGCCTCGGCCTCTCTGACCACATCTCCATCTTTCTGGCCCCTGTCTACCTCCCTCCGCTGAGACATTCCAGACCAACACAGAGGACTGTCACTATATGGCCCAGTGACAGTGACTCTGTACTGCAGGACTGTTTTGCATGCACAGACTGGCAGATCTTCAGGGAGGTTGCTGTAAATGAGGGCGATCTGGATCTGGAGGACTACACATCTTCTGTCCTCAGATACATCAGCAAGTGCTCTGAAGATGTCACCACAACCAGGACTGTGACATGCTACCCGAACCCGAAACCCTGGCTGAACGCGGAGGTCCGTACCCTACTGAAAGAGCTCTGCTGCAACTGGTCTGAATGACTACCGGCCAGTAGCCCTCACCCTGATAGTCGCTAAATGATTTGAAAGACTCATGGCCCACATCAAAACTACTATCGACATCAGCAAGGACCCTCACCAGTATGCATACTGCAAAAATAGATCAACAGAGGACACCATCTCTTCTGTGGTCCACATTGCTCTCACCCACCTGGAGCAGAAGGACTCCTACGTCCATTTGCTCTTTGTGGACTTCACATCTGCCTTCCACACCATGATCCACCAGACCCAAATGAACAAACTACTCACACTAGGACTAAGCCCCTCCCTATGCAACTGGGCCCTAGACTTCTTAACCAACAGGCCGCAGTCTGTGAGGATCCACATCTCCTCCTCCACCGTAACCCTCAGCAATGGCTACCCTCAGGGCTGTGTGTTGAGCCCCCTCCTGTTCACTCTGCTCACGTATGACTGTGAACCTACCTATCCAGGCTGTCACAATGTAAAGTTTGCAGACGATACAGTGGTGGTTGGATGCATCACAAACAACAATTGGTCCAGCTACAGGCAAGAGGTGGAACACCTGAAGAGCTGGTGCAGGAAGGACAACCTTCAAATCAATATGAAGGAGATGGTCGTGGACTTCAGACAGAGCAAACAAACCTCCTCCCCTCCACCCCCGAACATAGGATCTGCAGTGGAAGTGGTCTCCAGTTACAAGTACTGCACCTGAATGACAACCTCAGCTGGGGTAACAACACTACTAGTCTGATCAAGAAAGCTCATCAGAGACTCTACTTCCTCAAGCACTTGAGGCGAGCTTGTCTGGGAAGCTCAGTCCTCACCTCCTTCTACAGGTGTGCAGTGGAGAGCATCCTGTGCTCCAGCATCAACGTGTGGCATGGAGACTGCACAGCTGCAGAAAGAAAAGCTCTGCAGAGAGTGGTGAAGGCTGCACAGAGGTCTGATGGAGTCAGCCTCCCCACCATCACAGACATCTACACCTCCAGATGCAGGGATAGTGCCACCTGCATCATGAAGGACCCCAATCATCCAGCACACACACTCTTTGCCCCATTCCCCTCAGGCTGGAGGTTGAGGAGCATTAAGTGCAGAACCTCTAGACTGAGGAGCAACTTCTACCCTGAAGCTATTAAACTCAAAACCTAACCAGGATAATCACTGTGAAAAAAACTCTGTAATGCCACTTTAATTGATGATATGAGCTGCTGATTATTTCATGCTGCTGATCTCATGCTGCTGATTATTTCTTGCTGTGGTATTCATTTATATTAATTCGTACCCATCTGCTCACACAGACTCATGTTCAGCTGCTGTTGTTACACCGTATCTTTTAGCGTACCGTTTGGCGTTCGTTTAGTGTATGTCTTAGATTGTGATTTAATGTTTCTTTTAAAACTTTATACGTTTGCTATTTTTGGGTGTAACTGGGACCCTGCGCACATAATTTCATTCCACCTCATGTACCATATGTGATGCGAATGACAATAAATCTACTTGAACTATAACTTGAAGTGTTACAACAATTTTTTTATGCAGAGATACATTTTATAAAAGCTGCTTTCTTTCAAATCTCATGACTCAAAATATTATTATTATTTTTTATCCTTCCATAAAATTTTCGTTTTAAAGAGAAAAGCTTAGATGCAAAAGTACAAACCAACAAAACAAGCAAGGCTGTGGTATTGAACAGCCATCCATTATCTTTACTCGCTTCTTCCTGTTCAGGTCACCGGGGTCAGTGGTGTTCATCTCCAGCAGTCACTGTGCGAGAGGCGGGGGACACCCTGGACAGGTCTCCAGTCCATCACAGGGACACATAGAGACAAATGGGACATTTATTGCCACAACTTAAGAGTTACCAATCAGCCCAGTGTGTATGTTTTTGGTCTGTGGGAAGAAACCGGAGTGCCCGGAGAGAACCCACGCTTGCACAGAGAGAACATGCAAACTCCACCCAGAAAGGCCCCTGGACCGGGGTTTGAACCGAGGACCTGCTCGTTGAGAGGCAGCGGCTCTACCAGTTGCGCCACCGTGCTGCCCGGGATTGAACATATGTTCATAAAAATAACCATTAAATAAAACGACAACAACAAAAATAAAATTCTGATCAGTAAAGGAACAGGTTAAGTAAAATAAAATCAGGGACTCTAAATTGAGAACAATTTATTTTAATTGTTTGTGCATGACAAATTTTTTGAGATCAGGATGGATCGGCTTCAGGTTGACTCTCTAACTGATGTACCGCGCAACCTTCAGTTTGGTAGCAACAGTGTAGAAAATTTATTCGTTTAGATTTATTTTATTTATTATCAAAGTTGGATTTTGTAGACTTTTTAGCGGAAAAAGACTAAAAATCATCTCCTGCACCAACTGCAGGTTTTTAGAAAATACTTCTTTTTTTTTTGTCAATAAGTGTTGCAAGAATAAAAACTGCAGCAACAACGTTTTATTCTTTTTCTGTTTCTGTTTTCGCAGAGCACCACACTGCGTGCCTGAACAGCAAAGATCTGGAAGTAGACCACGAATACTACAGTAAGACAAGACTCTGTTTGCTAAATGTTTTGGAGCTTGCAGTTTTATTGAATGCTTTTTGATCATTTGATCAATACTCATATCAATAAACTCTATCTCAGAAGAAATTACTGAAAAAAAAAATGTTTAAAGCAAATAGAAAATGTAACTGTTATCTAAACTGAGAGTGAAGTTGAAAACATAAGGGAAACATTGTTTTTTGATTATAACAAACCATTTTAAATAAAAATAGCTTTTTGTGTATAGGCGACATATGGATACGCATTTTGATTTTAAGAAAGCAAACAAGGAGGGTAAATAATTAGAAAAAAGTTTAAATTTATTGTTGTTTTTACACTTTTTATCCATTAAAATTTAACTAAATCTCACGAGTTTGGCAAATTATAAAATGTCCCTCTCGTAACTTCAAAAAGTCCCACCAGTAGCCCACTTAGAAGTTGCACAACAAAAACTTTGCAACTTGTGCTCAGTGTGTTTGTGCTGATTCAGGTGCTTTTTGGCTGCATGTTTGTTCCTTTACAAAATCAGAATAAAATCTTAAAATGATACAAGGTCAAATCAAAACCTGACTCCTCAAATGCAACTTTTTAAATCATTACAAAACTATTATTATAGCTAGTTTTTGTCCATAAGTGCATGTAAAAGCCTTTATTGATTTTCTCCTGTTTACTCTTTTCCTCAGAGAGGAGATAACTTGTTCTAGATCAGAAACATTTCTCAACTGCTGCTGGGAATTCGTGTAAATCGGTTTGTGTTTACATGGGGCTGGGAGGACGGAGGGGAAATGAGAAGGACGCACAAAGACCAAAGTTAGTGGATAAAAGGAGGGAGCAGAACCTGGATCCACATTGACAGCAGGTCAGGATCAGTTTGGAGGATGAGGAGGACTCACCTGCTGCTGCTGGCCTCTCTGGCCTTTGCCTCTCTGACTTCTCTTGCTGCTGGAGCTCCAATGTAAGTGCGCCTTCGGAACCATTGCACATTTACGTTGATTTATAGAAAACAAAACTCAAATATGGCTTTGTTTCTTTTGTGTAGACGGCATTTAGAACCACCTTTTGTCAATCGTTTTTCATGATCATTTCTGGTAAACGGCCACAAAAAATAATAAAGACTGTGGCACAGGTTAGAGAAGGTGGGCCTGTTATCGGAAGGTCGCCGGTTAAACTCCCCGGACAGACAATATCAAAATGTGGGTGGGAAAGGTGAAACACACCTGCCTCCACCCTCAATTGCCCCACTCTGAGCCCTTGAGCAAGGCCCTTAACCCCCACCATCGGCTCCTCTATGGAAGCAAATGTGTCTCAATTTTGGAATTAAAATGGATTAATAGAAATGCTTTTCATTTTCAAAATAAAACTGCATGTTTTGACTCATAAATAAAATTAAAACTAAATCATCTGCCACTTGGAATTGCATTTAATTTACAAATTGAGCAGTCTTGGAGAAGAAAATGAAAATGCAGTTTGGATGATTTATGTTTAATTTTATTTACGAATCAAAACATGCAGCTTTATTTTGAAAATGAAAAGCATTTCTATTAATCCATTTTAATTTGAAAATTTAGACACATTTGCTTCCATGCTCCCCTGGGTGACCTTGATCAGTAGTTCTCAAGGTCCCCAGACCACTGGGATCTGCGAGCTAGCGCTTGGGGGTCCGTAATTCATTCAACCTTTATTTACACAGGTTAATCCCATTGAGGCTCGGGGACTCATTTATAGGTGGGGGGAAAAATTATATATATTTACAAGCACATAGTTGTTTAACAACCAGTTAAAATACACCAAAATGCAGGAAATTGCATATGCCTTATTCAAAATTTTCTGGAGGAGGACCACACCCCCCACCGCTATTTGCATTCTGGCATCGATTGGTTTATAAAATAAGCACTGATACTTGATATGACTACTGCCGTTATGATTCTGTTAAGTTTTATGTAATAATTTGAAGTGGAAATACATTTATTATGTTAATTGTGTGAAAAGGTAAAGTTTTAAAATGGTTTTTGATGCTGACGATTTTCTCAAAACTGTAATTTTTGGAAGTTGAAATTGAAAATTTTGTTAATTAAGTGAGACTTGAATGAAAAATGCTCCATGTTTAAAAGTATAAAATTGTGTTAACACTATTAAAAAACAGGTCTTAAGTATTTATGTTGCACAAAAATCTTCATGGCATTAAAGAGACAAACTGAAGAAAATTATTTGATAAACATGAGGGTTGTGAGGGGGTCCCTGAAACTTTTTCTCCCCTGTAAGGGGTCCCTGAACCCAAAAAGTATGAGAACCCCTGCAGCTCCCCGCTCCACACAGGGCTGTGGCTCGGTGGTTGTGTTAGGAAGGGCAACCGGCATAAAACAATTGCCAAGTCTTCATGCGACTCAGTTCACTGTGGTGACTCCTGAAGAAGGGAGCAGCCGAAAGAAGAAAAATTAAATAAAAAATATTAGCATGTCTACTCTGCATATTGAACCATTGAACAAAACTTAAATTTTTCTCTCTGTTGCGTTTCATCAGAGTCCAAGAGTCATGATGGAAAGTTTGATGCTGGATCATAATCAAGATAATCAATGGATCACTCATTGGGTGCAAAGTCTGAACAACAGCGAATAAGCCCTAACTAAACAAATAATTACAACAGACCCCCAAACCCCCTGAAATTTATCAAATAAACATACATTCAGAGAGTTGGGTGCTTTCCAAAGTGTCAAAAGTTAAATCAACAGATAAGCTAAGTCAAGATATGTGCTGGTGGTAAATTTAAGCATTTTATTCACTGTAAATCACTGCAAAGTCATTTGGATTTTTTTTTTTTTTTTAACAAAATGATCCATATACTAGTACAGACACCATAAATAACTGACAATTAATGTGTTCCTTAAATTGATTTGTTAAAAAATGCAATTAAAATCAATGTTAATCTGGTCAATGCAAAGTTGTTTCAGCTTTTCTGATAACTGTGCACTTGACTTGTTTTTTTGTTTTGCAGCAAAGTCTTGTCTGCTCCCAACTTACTGCGAGTTGGAACAGCGGAAAATGTTTTTATAGAATGTCAAGGCTGCAGCGGAGCCGCCATTAACGTCGAGATCAAAGTGATGAGCCATCCGACCAAAACCACAGAGCTGGTCAAGACATCTGTGACCCTTAACAACGAAAACAACTTCCAGAATCTTGGAAAAATAACAGTAAATATTTATTTATTTTTCTAATAATTAGCTAAAATTCCTTAAAGCATATATATTATATAACACACAAATAAATTATTAAAAAATCGTACATTGTGATTTCTGAATATTTGTTTTTTTAGATTATGTCTCTCACAGTGAACATGCACCTAAGATGAAAATTTCAGACCCCTCCATGATTTCTGTGGGAGAACTTGCAAAGTCACAGTGTGTTCAAATATTTATTTTCCTCAATATATATATATTACTTTTATTTATTTATAGATACGTATATAGGTAGATGTATAGATATAGATAAATACATAATATTATTTGTTTATTTTTGTTTTTGTTTTTTCTTTTCTTCCTCTCATGGACTCATAAGACTCGGAAAACCGGGTGGGTGTTAGGTGTAACTATTGAGTACTGGAGAAGGGGTAGGATTAAATAAGTTTTACTTCTTCCTACCCCTTTTCAGAAATGTTAAATGGGCTTCGTGTGTGTGCATGTATATGGGTATGTGTACGTGGATAGGTGTGTGCACATTTGGATAAACTTATATTTTTTTTATTTTGTGTGCGCTCAGTCAAAGCAGATGCTTTTGCAGATGTGGGTCTGTTTTGCAAGGGGTTCTGTGTGTTCAAATGTATGCGTGTATATGTGTAGATATGTATGTATGGATGCACAGGTTCACATTGGTGTTGATGTTGATACACCCTGTGCAGTGTGCAATGGTTTGACATGTCTATATATGTATACCCCCCATCTAAAGACACACCTGTCTTTTGATTCTGGTTTCAGATCCCACCTGGAGACTTTAGCAGGGACCCCACTATGAAACAATATGTTTACCTGCAAGCTAAGTTTCCTGACAGAGAGCTGGAGAAAGTCGTCCTGGTGTCCTTCCAGTCTGGATACATCTTCATACAGACTGACAAGACCCTGTACACTCCCAACAGCAAAGGTGTGTAGGAAATACAATATAGTTGTTTAGGATGAACTAAATAAATCCCGAATCCTCCAACAAACACAATGTATTTAAACTGTGTATGCCAAATCTTGTATTTGTTTGACTAAACTCTGAGAAGCAAAACTTAGCTCTGTCTTCCTTTGACAGTTTATTACAGGATGTTTGCTTTGACGCCACAAATGACGCCTGTGGAAAAAGACGAGCGAAGCCAAACTGAAGCATCTATTTCCATTGAGATTGTGGTATTGTATTTCATTCTTTTTGTAATAAGATTTGAAAACAAACAATCAGCTGTAACTGGGAAAACTACCCAAGTATGACTATACCATTGACTTTAGCAGAAGAGAACTGACACAAAACTTCACACTTTTAGTAAAAAGATGAAGAAATAAAGGTTAATATGCCTGCTTCATAGTAAATAATTTACAATAAACAGGTTTTCCTGGTTGCAGAAAAATGATTAAACGCAATCATTAATAGTTGTTAAATGTGATTTATTTACGCAGACCCCTGATGACATCATTATACCACTTGATTCGGTCTCTCTAAAAAACGGTATGCACTCTGGAGATTATAAACTTGCTGAAATTGTTAGGTGAGTATGCTTTCATTTAGTTGAGTGTAACTGTGAAGATTGAGATTATGTTCTGGTTATGCGTGAAGCCCTCTTTAACTCGTTATAAATCATCTTAATAAAGGGTTTTTCAATAAATGTATGTTTATGGTGTAGTCTAGATCAAATGTAATAACAAAAGTGGCACAAAAAGTAAGAAAATTTGTGTTTTATAATTCTTTGTTGTAACAATGCTTTTTGGAAATACATTTTCAAGCCTGTTTATTTCTCCTTAAATGGTTTCCCATGTGTTAGGAAAATGCAGTTGTGGTTGAGCACTGGGATCCCCCCATGAAAATGTTGCCAAATCAGGATAAACAAAACATATTGGCAATTTAACAGTTTGATTCTGTTTTAAAAACAACCCCAAAAGCATGCGGAAGAACCATACACAGCCACAACAGCCTGATTGTTAATATTTAGCAGCTGTTAACCATCAGTGGTTGACCCAAGGCTGAACAGTCCCAATCATGAAAGTCCTCCAGAAAGGGGCAATCCCATTCAACTACTGGCCAATCACCTGCCTCTGTGCAACATGGATCAGGCATCATATTGACTAAGATTGGATCTGGATTGGCTACAGGTAAGCCTATGGCTCAGTGCCACACACATGGATACTGGAGAGCTCGAAACTATACAACATCAGTAAGACACTAAGAACCTTCATCAAGAACCCAATGGGAATGTTGAAGACAGCTCTAGAGGCCTGTTGAGGTTCTCCTTAGGAGTGACAAGGTTGGGTGAGATTAGGAATTAGATCATTAGAGGTACAGCACAGGTTGAACAACTGGGAGATAAAGTTAGGGAGGCCAGACTGAGATGGTTTGGACATGTCCAGAGGAGGGACAGTGGGTATACTGGTAGAAGGATGTTAGAAATGAAGCTGCCAGGAAAAAGACAAAGAGGAGATACATGGATGCAGTTAGAGAGGACATGGAGGTAGTTGGAGTGAGGACAGAGTGAGATGGAGGAGGATGACTCGCTGTGGCGACCTCTGAAGAGCCAAAAGAAGAAGAAGAAGAACTGAATTTCTGAATTCTCCAGTACATGGAAGTCAAAGCATTGTGAAACAGTTTCTCACTTACATAAATGTGCAGCAAAATATATTGAATATTTGTGTCATTCAGTTTTACAACAAACATTAAAAAACTTTGATTTCCAGGCGATACAACTTGTGACCTGGAAAGCACTTTAGCTGGATCTTCACCTTGTCTTGTCAAGCAAAAGGTCACAGAGGAAGAAACAAAAACAATGACACATCTGCCATTTGTTTTGACCTTATTAATATATTTGCTGTATTGTTTCAATCAGAAAGATTGACTTAATCAACAGACACTAAATAGCAAAAGGTGATGAATTCCTGATCTTTTGTGTACCTGTTGTTTTCTGTCAGATGATGTGAAGCTTCAATTCTTGGCATCAGAAATAAACAATTGATTTGATGTCTCACTCCTGTGTTTGCCTCAGCTTTTGTAATAATATCCCAATGTTCTGATCTGTTAATTGATTTGCACATGTGTGTCTCTGTGCAGTCCTGGACTGTGGAAAGTGGTGGCAAAGTTCCAAAGCAACCCACAGCAAAGCTACTCTGCAGAGTTTGAGGTCAAAGAATATGGTAAATGTTTCACTATCATCAGCGCTATTTTTCATCGAATTACTTTTCACTTAGTTGAACTAACACTGAAAGATGTATTTATTTATTTAGTGCTTCCTAGTTTTGAAGTTAAACTGATACCTGATTCGCCCTTCTTCTACGTGGACAGTGAGGAGTTTACTGTCAACATTAAAGCTACGTATGTGAAGTGTTTTTAGTAACTGCAACATAAAATAGACTTCAGTACTTAGGCCAGATTATTTGCTGTTGAGGTATGGCTTTAAAATGTCCACGTCTTTTGGTTGTAGGTATCTGTTTGGAAAAGAAGTTGATGGGACGGCCTATGTTGTGTTTGGAATTATGGAGAACGGTGTGAAGAAGAGCCTCCCTCACTCTCTGTCAAGAGTGTCGGTGAGAAGTCACACAAAGTCAATTATCCAGTTCAAGTGTAATAAAAATGTTATATGTTCACTCAAAATCAGACTGGCAATTCTTTATGTTGTTCTTTTAGGTCCAGAATGGAGAAGGACGGGTCAAACTGAAAAGGGACCAGATCACTCAGACTTTTAAAGATATTAATGGTCTTGTGGGGAGCTCCATATATGTGGCTGTCAGTGTGCTGACAGAGAGCGGTAAGAGTCAGAGATTCTGTTTTTGCCAGATTATTAAAGTTAGTCTTGATTAAATTATGATTATTTAGCAGATAAAATGATGATGAAACATAATTTTATAGCCATTTGGGTTTCAAAACTTTACCAATAAAATAGGTTTAAGGGGAGTAGTGGCGCAAAGGTTAGAGAAGGTGGGCTTGTGATCAGATGATCACCGGTCCAACTCCCGGTACTGACAACATCAAAATGTGGGTGGGAAAGAAGAAGCACACACACCTGCTTCCACCCTCATTGGCCCCACACTGGGCCCTTGAGCAAGGTCCTTAATCCCCATCACCTGTTCTCCTGGATGCCCTAGCAGCTCTCTGCTCCACACATAGGACTGTGAGAGCTCAGTGATCTGTGGTTGCGTCAGGAAGGGCATCCAGCGTAAAAATAATTGCCAAGTCTTTGCGCGAGTTAGTTCACTGTGGCGACCGCTGTAGAAGGGAGCAGCCGAAAGAAAGGAAAAAAAAGGTTTAAAGGTTATACAAAAATAGTTATAAAATAAACAGTTATTATTTTGTCTGTTTCTGAGGAAAGTGAGAGCAGATACAAAACCTGTTGTGTTCAGTTAATCTACCATAATTTCCGTATTCTTGAGCGCACCTGAATATAAGCCACGCCCACTAAATTTTAAAAGAAAGAAGATTTTGTACATATATAGGCCGCACTTGTATATAAGTCGCGGGTGTCCAGGTTGAAACATGAGATATCTACACAGAAACATTTTTTAAACATTTAATTAAATACGTCCCAGTAACATACCAAATATGTACAGTAATGTATTTTTTATGAAGTGTCTGTAACATGGCTCATTAAATAAAAAAATATAAAAAAAATACAGTAACCTGCCAGGAAGTCGGTGATAGCTATTTTCATGTTCCTCCTGTGCACTTGAGCTTGTGCTGTCCTCTATCACGCAGATATCTTTCGAAACCCATTGGCGATAGAGGATTTTTTTACACCATGCTGTGCTGTTAGGGTGCACTGGCAGACTTGAGCAAAAGTTGCTCTTTGCATGCAGCCAGTTTGGGTAAATGATGTCTCACCGCCAGTCATTCAAAGACTCCCACCGAGCTCCGAGTGCCATTTTAATTGTATGATTCATACTTATTTCGAGTGGCTGCAAATATTTCATTGTGCCCCCAGAGAAGGGGGAAACGAGGCACAATAGGGAGAGAGAACAAGAGTCCCCATGTGGACTCCCAATTCCACCAAGACAAGAGTCTGCAAGAGTCAGTCCAACAAAAGTCCCCAGTTTCATTGGTCCACTGTGACCTGTTCAGCAATTTCATTGGTCAAATTTTTTCAAACCTTTATTTATACAGGTAGTCTCATTGAGTCATGAGTGCTCACCCCCCTAGAGAGACATGTATTGGGCACCTATGTGAGCACCCGGGTGTGACGAGGCTAAATGTTTTGGCAGCATGAAGCTCGTTAGCCCGTCAAAAAAAAAAAAAAAATCTATAAATTAGCTGCAGCATTGTATAAAACGCGGGGTTCAAAATGTGTGAAAAAAAGTGCTGGCTTATAGTCTGGAAATTATGGTATTTAAGACCAATGTTAAGTTTTTTCTTCATCATTTCTATTATTATATAATGTCTTTTATTCTTAATTTCTGTTATTATATAATAAGTCTTTTAATCATCATTTCTGTTATTATATGATAAGTCTTTTAATCATCATTTCTGTTATTATATAATAAGTCTTTTAATCATCATTTCTGTTATTATATAATAAGTCTTTTAATCATCATTTCTATTATTATATAATAAGTCTTTTATTCATCATTTCTATTATTATATAATGTCTTTTATTCTTAATTTCTGTTGTTATATAATAAGTCTTTTATTCAAAATTTCTATTATTGTATAATAAGTTTTATTCTTCATTTCTATTATTGTATAATAAGTTTTATTCTTCATTTCTATCATTGTATAATAAGTCTTTTAATCATCATTTCTATTGTTATATAATGTCTTTTAATCATAATTTTTATTATTATATAATAAGTCTTTTTATGAGAGTTTTTTCTTGTCCAGATAAGTCTTCAAAAACACAACACACAAACAAAAAATACACATGTTGCATGTTTTTTGAGCTAAGCGCATTCTGACTTATAATTCAGTGAAGTAACATCTTGATGGCAGGAGGTTATACGGCACTAATTTGTGGATGTTGTTCATTTTCCCATCACAGGAAGTGAAATGGTGGAGGCGGAGTTAAGAGGCATCCAGATCGTCACATCACCCTACAGAATCTCTTTCAAAAAAACACCTAAATATTTCAAACCTGGAATGTCCTTTGACGTTGCGGTAAACAACCAAAGTTGTTTTATGTCATTAAAGTGTAGCTGTTTCGTTAATTTAGACATTTTTTTATGATGCAAATGTTGCACCTTACAATTATTGTTAACCATTTCAACTATAGTTTGTGCTGAAGTTAGTGTTAATAAATATAACCTCATTAACTCAGATTTTTAAATAGGATTTTTTTTTTTTTTTGGAGGTGGGATTATACACAATTAATAACTTACCTGTTGTAGATAGCTCTTTTTCTGACCTCACATTAAGAAATAAAGTTGGGGAAGTGGTGGTGCAGAGGTTAGAGGAGGTGATCCTGTAATTGGAAGGTCGCTGGTTCCAATCCCATAACATCTATAATTTGTGTGGGAAAGGTGAAGCACCTAAGTCTGCTTCCTCTGAGCCATTGGCAAGTCACCCTAACCCCCCCACCATCCACTCCCCCTCTACTCCACACATGCGGGCTGTGGTAGCTCACTGGGTTTTTGCCAAATCTTCATGTGAGTTCACTTTCTGTGGCCACCCCGAAGGAAGAAGCTGAAATAAAAGACAAACGTTGGAAGGAAGCTAAGGACTACTTTAAATGGGTTCAAGACCAAACTGCAATTTTAAAGAATTTCATGACATTATGGTATGACATCATGACATATGGTATTTTATAAATATTTAGATTTTACATTCTTTATATCAGTTTTGCATCACACAAGTATTTCAATCAAATTCTGTGATTATTTGCAAGTGCAAATAGCAGCAGCAGCAGCTAGCTGTAGCTCTTCGGTTGTGGCCTGTGACACTTCCAGCCAGAAATTTGTGATATTTCTGCATAATAATTATGCAAAGAGGAAAAGAAGTAGCCCCCCTTATAGATGGCTAATAAATAGTTTATAGATATGGTATTAATTCCTCTATAAACACTTTATAAATCATTAATAATTATTTATTATGCATTAATCAAGGGTAACAAATAGACAAAACTAACCAGTTTGTTGCCAAATAGTGAGACAAATCTTCCACCTACATATTTCATCTAGAGTTGTTACATTAAATATGTCAGACTAAGTTTCTACCGTGTAAGCACAAAAAACATTTGTGTTTAGGATGTAATATTAGTTATAGATACTTATAATGCAGTGATAAAGTACAATATTATATGCTAAATAAATAGGTTTACAAATGCTTATTGTGCTTACAAGGTAGTACCTTATTCTCAAATGTTTAATATAACAACTATAGATGTATGGGTGGCAGGTTTGGCTCACTATTTGGCAAGAAACAATCAGTTTAGTCTCTTTGTCACCCTTAATTAATGCATAATAAGCAGTTATTAGTGATTTATAAAGTGCTTATAGTGGAATTAATAATATGTCCATAAACCATTCATTAGCATCTATAAGGGGAACCTTGTTGCAATCACACTAACTGCTATAAACTGTTGAATATTGGAGTTTTAGAAGGAATCAGTCCACTTTGGTTCTGGTTTTGCTCAGATTAGTTGTTAGCTTTTACTCTGGACAAAATAAACTCCCAAGATTTTGGGACTGGTGGAGTTTTTTCTAGGCAATAAGGCTACTGTGCCAAAGGTGGCATAATAAATGTTCATAAACTTTTTACAACCCCCCCCCCCCCCCCCTCAAACAATCTGAACTTTCTCTTTCAGTGTTTTTAGCAAGCTGCTTAAAGCAGTCTGATTATGTATATATATATATATATTTTTTATTTATTTATTATAAACCTCAGATTGAAGTGGTGAATCCTGATGACAGTCCAGCTGATGGTATCCCAGTGGTGATCCATCCTGGTGACGTGAGGGGCTTTACAGCACCCAATGGCATGGCGAGACTTACCGTCAATACACAAGCAACGTATGCTTCGCTGCAAATCACTGTGAGCATCATCAAAACATAAATAACACAATAACATATATAATGTATACTTTCTATCTATCTATCTATCTATCTATCTATCTATCTATCTATCTATCTATCTATCTATCTATCTATCTATCTATCTATCTATCTATCTATCTATCTATCTATATATATATATATATATATATATATATATATATATATATATATAT